AAGAAAACTTTAATATAAGTTTAACATAACAGCAAATAACATAACATAACAGTACCTGATGATGACAAAACCTTGTCGAAACGTTGTACATGTGCTGTTATGTTAAACTTATATTAAAGTTTTCTTCATTACCCATTCAAGCCATCTCCAGCCAAAGTTCTATAATATTAAAAAGCACATGGCTGAACTGTTCTAAATGTGATGGATAAGTATCTCCCAACTGCTTAGCTTTGCATAATTACAATTTGGATGATTAAAATACTAGAAGTGATTATATCTATCCTCACTGACTTTAAAAATATCTGTGTGAATAGGTCTTCATAGAATAATTTATTTGTACTCACAACTTCAGTACTTTGTTTGAGAGTTTAGTGAAAACTTGCAATAATTTACAAAATATCAAAATGACTATAAATACAAAAATTAGTTTCTCATTGCACTTAAAAGGCTTTTTTTTTTACAATTAATCATCAAATGTTTTTCAAGAAATATGTCTTAATGCATTTGCTATAATACTTACATGTAGATGAAGAATTAAACATATTCAATGAAAAAAATAATGTTCATATGAAATTATCACCTCATCAAACATCAAAATTTTGAAACATACTTTTCACAGAAATGGCAATTATTATAACAAAAGTTAATATTTTCTTACACTTACCTCTACTCACCCAAAGTTATCTCAATCCTGGACTGCCCTCAAAGCATTGCTAAATTTTTATACTAACAGTGTACCAGTCTTTTATAGCCTATAAGTTTTGAGCCATTTCAGAACATGTGATGATCATGTGAGTACTTTCCACCAATCATACTGTACACTAACTCCCTTTACTATTCTTGAGTAATCCTCACTTTTGAGAATGGGCAAGTAAAAACCAGAAACACTGGTAAGCACCTATCAGAAATACATTTTCAGTGTAAGAAAATGTTAACTTCCAAAACAGTGTTACCTCCTCTCACCTAAAGCTAGAACCCCACATTGCAAAGGTAGAGGGGGGTTGGGAAAGGTGCATCAATATTCAATCAAGCAGAAAGTGACCACACTGAAAGAATAGGTGTGCAAGAATATGAAAAGAAAGCACACCTGTGGGGTATAGCACTACTTCTTAAACACGTATGTTCTTCACCCAGTAATTAACAAAGGAATAAAAAAGAGGGTAGAACTGAATTGGCAGGCACCAATGCAATCAGAAAAAAAAAGGATGTACAGCCTCGAGTCAGTGGGAAAATGCTGTAGAAGCATGACTTGAAACCGCACAGTGTTAACAAACATGGAAAGTCTAGTGTCGAAGCAACAATGAGCTAATATAAGCATGTTCCAAGGATAGTACCTTGAGTTACATCAGAATATGTCAAGTGCACTCCATCCAAAAAAAACATCCAGTGAAAATACCTTGTATAAGATACTGAGATCAACCAGTGCAGTTCTCCTGGGCAAAAAACATCCAGAGGAAGCATACTGGATATGTAGGATGAAGAAAAAAATTACAGACATGAGTGTGTTCTTAAGAGTTTTCATAACCAGCCCATTGTCAACAGACGTGTCATACTTCGTCCACATATGTAGCAGGTCGTAGTAGTATCAACATAGTGATAGCAAGCCATGGTATGGTGCCAGAGAAGACAAAACTAAATATGGCTAGGGCTGAAGGACCATGAATTGTATAAGAATAGACTAATTGCCATCCACCCAAGCAAAAAAAATCTAGAGGAAGTGCCTTGGATACACAATATTCAATAATTTAGCCAAGTGTGGTCCACCTGGGCAAAAAAACATCCAGTGTAAGTGCCTTGCAAAAGATATACCATTCAATAAGTGCAGTCTGCCCAGGCAGAAACATCCGGGGAAAGCACCTTGAATGTTATATTTTTGTATAATCATTGTTTGGTAATGAATATAATAAAGAGAGCCCTCTTCTCAATGAGTGGGTACACACGACATATGAGGTCCGATTTTGTTTGTTATACAAAACCCTCTTAGGAGGAAACCTCCTTGGTCCACCAGAAGAGGGGGGGGGGGCAGTACACATTTGGGAGTCCACAGGAATGACACACAAGAGACAGTGCAATGGATGTCTGTGATTCCCTATTTTAAAAAGCAGAAATCTCCATATGCTTTAATCATGAAGTCCATGAATGACAGTCTTTTAA